GCGCCACAGGGAACTAAATGACAAACCCTTCCTGGCAGCCAGATGTTACCTCTAGCCCGTACCTTGCATTCATTCAGCCTTCCTGAATCCCATCTGATCCACAGGCAAAATCTTCAGAATAGATGAGGTTCAACTACACAACCAGTTAGCAGGATCAAAGCTCACCCTGATCCCAGAGCTCACTTTAACCCTGCCTGACCAACGCTAATATGCAGCCCAGAAGAGCTACAGGCCCTACAGCCAGCTAAGATCACTGTGCTTGGCCAATATTTTAAAATGGGATAAGGACAAAAACCCTTCTCTCTCTATCAGGCAAGAGCAGGGGCTCTTTTAATCAGTTAAGAAAGGTATAAGGTGATGGGGTAATTAAGCAGCTCAGATATGGTTCGTTTTCATCAATATTGTATGCACTGAAAGAATAAATGCCCAGGGATGTCACTTAAAGCCAGGAGTAGCTTCACTGAGGACAGCAGCACCTTTGTAAGGTGGGTGACGCTGCACAAGGCAGAGGGCTAATTATCAGACCTTAAAAGCAAGGAACGTATTTCGACTGCGCCAGAGGCTGGATTTTAGTTCTGCTTTCCAGCCAATCAGAGAGAAGCAGTAAAAATTGCTTGTAATTTATCCCATTTGCAGCAGGTGACTGGCTGCAGGGTTTTTTTTGTTTTAATTTCTATTTCTTTTCCCCTTCTACGGACAAAGTTTGTCGAAAAACCCATTGGATTGAACGCTGGGGACCCGCAGTGATCTTTCTAGGGGTGGTGCCCGGGGGTTGATGCAGCAGGCAAAGGGGCTTCACTCTGGGCTTCTTTGCAAGACCTGCCCCCCTGTGTGGCCTTGCACATCACAGAACTTCTCTTTGCCCCTCGTTTCCTCCGTCTGTGTGGTTTGGAGAACACTGCTCATCAAGAAGGCTCTCCTTAAAGCTGCCAGGAGTCTCAGGCCCAGGCAATACCATTAAGACAGTGGCTGTGCTCCAGAGCCCCCCACATAGTGAGGGTTTGGAAGCACTTAGAATCACAGAAAATGAGGGTTGAAGGGACCTTGGGAGGTCACATCTAGTCCAACCTCCTGCCCAAAGCAGGACCAGCCCCAGCTACATCATCCCAGCCAAGGCTTTGTCTAGCCAGGTCTTCAAAATCTCCAAGGATGGAGACTCCACCACCTCTCTGGGTAACCTGTTCCCGTGTTTTACTACCTTTCCCACAAGGCTCCCTTCCCCTCAGGAGCAGAAGCTAAACGAGTCAGGTATTATGACAATGCAGAGCGTTTCCTTCGAGAAGAAAAGGAAACGTGCTCATGCACCTCCAAAATACACTAAAGCATGAGGCATCCTTCAGTGCTGTTCACCCCAAGGAATCCCAGAGACTTTGCTGGCTCTGAGAAATTAAGAACATGCACCTGCTCAAGAAGGTGTGCTTGTCTGAGCAGACAGCCGGGCACGGGGTCAAGTGTTTATATCGTCTTCTAGTGGCTGCAGTCCGGACAAGATAGAGGACATAGGAAGAGGCACAAAACATGCCAGTATAACTTACCTCGGTTATGTATACCCATAAAGAACTACACTAGGATCAAGGACAGACACATGCGCCACTATGATGGAGTAGAGTATACAGTAAATCGCTTGTATGGCGCCTCTCCACTGGGCTGTGATGGAGCAGGTAACAGTCTGCTTGCCTTGAACAAAATAGCACATCAGGATGGACGCAGACAGACAGCACCTGAACCGATGCAACTGAATCTGGGTGAAATCGCTACCAGGGTATTTCAGGGATAACTCACCACTGCATTGCAGAAACCCATTTAGGGGGGTTGTATGGTTTCTCCATTATTTTTTATACTATCATACTGCTGATTATACCAGCATAAATGTTACATCTGTCCATGCCCATGCACCCTAATAGTATTTCCTCTACACACACCTGGTTGAGTCTGATATACCATCCACTGTCCAAGTCACCTCTCTTTCTCCCACTGATTTCAAAGGAAACCCATTTTCTTCTCGTCCTACATCATGTCACTTGCCCATCGACAGCAGGTTCTGGGGACTGCATGCTCAGTCCCAGGATAGCTGAAATGCCATCGATTCACATTTGGCACTCCAAGATCTTATCACTCTGCTCTCATTAGCAGATATGTGGTTGTCACAGTCCCTCCGACTATGAAGTTGATGGTGGTGACTGAACCCAATAACATTCCACGTAGTAATCAAAAATATTTACTCGCCCCCAGTGAAAGGTATTTTGCAGAGCTGAAATGGTCCCTTTAAAAGGCCTAGCACGGAAGGCTGCCGCAGAAGGTTTGATAATACGTTGCTGGGGGAAGCTAAGAGGCTTTCCAATTTGCTCATTACTGCGCAAAATGCAGAAGTCCAAACCTTTTTGTTCTGACTGGCTTTTCCTCTAGACCAATACGGCTACAACCTGGATACCTGACACATGGAAGACATCAAATTTTAGCCAATTTTTTAAAACAAAATCTTCATATTTTCCCAAGCAGGAAGCAACTGTGACCACCTGACACCCGAGATCGTGCTCCTGCCTTTGTTTCAAGGTCATTTGCATCATCACAGATCCTCACAGGAGGTGAGAGGCTCCTTACCAGCTATGAACTGACTGCCCAGAGGAGTCTTCCATTTATTGACTCCTCTGTGAAATCCTAGGAAACATGAACTGTCATGTCTAACCAGCAGAACTTTTACAATCTTTTCTCCAATGCCTGAAGAAGGGTGTTTGTGCCCCAAAGCTTGCAATTAAAGCAACTTTTTTGCAAAAATCTTGTTGGTCTAATAAAGATCTCATCTCTACTATGAGTCCTGATTGCCTTTTCCTCTAGACCAATACGGCTACAACGTGAATACCTGAAGTCCCAACCTAACTTTGTCTCTTACAGGCTGCGACATAGAACTATTGCTACAGCATCTGCTTGCCCGTAGCTGTAATCCCATGAAAAGCACAAAGATCCAGTACCGACGCATAAAGATCCTGAAACGGAAGAAAATACTGCTTAAATCATAAAGTCATCGGCATGGACCTACACTTCTAAAACACCTTTCCGCCATACACTGGACTTTTTGCTTGAAACTTGCCTGCTCCCCTGAGTAGGTGCATGAGACTGAAACAGCACAATTGGTGGGTTCCAGGCATGCAACAGTGGTGGCAGATCACAGATCCTCACATCACAGCATGGGGCCCGGCCTCTTTTATAGCACCTGGGATGCGACAAAGCTCTCTCCTACACGGCTACTTGCAACTGATACAACGGGACCCCTGGTCACAAGCAGAGTAGCTTCAGGAGGCCTAAACGTGAACACAGGGGCATGGGCTTCCTACATTTTAATTCCAGCTTCTTCTACGGCCTTAACCAAGTCTTAACTTTCTGCTGGAGGGTCTTCATTTGTCAAATCACCCCACAGTGCGAGGGATCTGGGATATTTAAGAGGACCTAGGTTTGAAAGATACCTAAAAATAGATTATTTCACCCAGTTAGGCACTTATGCACCTGTTTGCTTCTCCAAAGTGCTTGGAGTCCAGCTGCTGCCATTTACTTGAAAGGCAGCTGATGAAGTTCAGTATTTTGGAAAATTAGGCCACTTACCTAGGAGCTCAAATATGGATGCCATAGGTCTAGCAATAGGGTAATTTGGAAAAGACCAGCATTTAGATTATATTACACTGGGGCTGGGCAGCCAGACAATTAATTGACCAGTCAAACATTGTCAACTGCCTGGTCAAGTGACGACATATTGTTTTGATCAGTTAAAGATTATACCAATTCTACCAAAAAAGACCCTAATTTTTTTTGTAGTTTTCTTGACAGAAATATGATTTTTTATTGTTTTTTGACACATTTCTTAAAGGAAAATTTGTACTTGTTCTGTATATGACTTGGCCCTATTGGCAATTTTTTTTTTTTTTACAATTTTTGACCAATACTTGACCAGTCAAGGGACCAAACTTTATTTGACCGATCAAATACCCAATCCTACTGGATATGCACCATTAAAAGACATTAAGATTCAGATACAAGTCGGAGCATCTTTCACCAACTCCATCTAGCGAGAAGACTGCGGCCCTTTCCTTCAGATTTGTATCTGGCCACCATATCCACGCCTTCATAATCTCAAGGCCAGCCTACTGCAATGCCGTCTGCACAGGGCTTCTCTTGAAAACGAACCTAGAAGCTGCAGCCAGTGCAGGATGCTGCAGCCTGCTTTCCGACACTGGGGGTTCACCAGGAGCACATAACTCCAGTGCTGCAAGGTCTGCACTGGCTCCCAGTAGCTTTTAGGGGACAATTTAAGGTGCTGGTTTTGATATATACGGCCCTAAACAGCCTGGGTCCTATATACCTAATCTTCTCCCTTACGCCCAACTATGATCCCTAAGGTCAGCCAAAGGCAACCTGCTGCAAGCACCATCAGTGCACCAGGTCCACACGGTGAAAATGCATGGGAGGTCGTTCTTGGCAGGGCTTTAAGAATTTCTTATCTGGGCAGGCGTTTAGGAAACAAAGCTAGGCTGAGATACTGCTTACGGGCGGGATCTTTTGTTTCCACTGATATTCTTGTTCCCTTGCAACTCTCCTGTTCTATAAATTATTCTGTTCTCTTACTGTAAGCTGCCCTGAACCTTTGTTGGGAAGAACAACATGGAAATTGAACAAATAAGCACACCAGTAGGTACTCAAGGGGCACATTTACTGCACAGTAACTGAAATTACTGCACAGTACAGGAG